CGAAGACCGGAGGCGGCGGAGGGGGAGAGGTCGTCGCCCGGGGCCTGGCTCGCGTCTTCCGTGGGGGGTGCACCCAGGGTACGTGGTGTCCCGGCGCCGGAGTGAAGGACATCTGGGAAGATCGCATCCTGGGTGCACCGGGCCTGTGCAGAGAAACACACGGAGTAGTGGTGGTGGGAGAGTTAGCAGCGCGCTGTATACTTACCCCGGACTTGTGAGCGTCAGCTGTTTACAGCTCGAACGTGTCCTCACCTGCACTCAAAGGTAATCCGCCATTAAAGCAAGTAGCATTGAGTAAAACAATGGTAATGTGTGTGAATAGAGTATTAGCAATGTAAGCGAGATTAGCGGCAACCACGCTGGCGATGCTAACGGGCTATAAGCTAATAGCGGACTCGGGAAATCAAAATAAAACTAGTGATAAGGCGCTCTGCTTGTTTTTGTTGTAGAATACGATAGGGGATATATTCACACGTTATATACACGAAAATGATGGTGTATAAAATAGATTTTAAGTAAAAAAAAAATAGATGATAAAGAATTAATTTGATGGAGCTCAAACTCAAAACACATAGCAGCAACAAACAGCCTGATGTAGGCTGTAGCAAGGTGCGGGTCCTCGAGCTTGTGCAGCAGGTGTCAAGGCTGTGTCACCTGTCATCCTGAAGTGAGTTGGTCTGGGTAAGATGGTTGTTTGTCAATGTTGTTAGCCAGTAGGCTATCCGTGGTACCCGTGATGTGGAACAACCGGGTTAGACTCTCACTGGTGAGAGTACAGGTGGTTCCAGGGATTGCCGGGAACTGTTATGGAGATTCTGTAGGGTGCAGAGAAATTTCCGACTGACCTAGTGATGATGGCAGGAGAGCGGCAGGTGGTTGTTAGCCCTCTGTTTTGCCCGAACGTCACTAGAAATCTGATGTTTGCGGTGTCGCTTTGCTCTTGTGGCGGCACCGACTTGAGCTTGCCTGAGTTGTGTTGGTAGAGGTTTTGCTGTTGGGCACGTGGGCCCGTTGCTCCATCCAACGTTGTCTGGCTGCTTCTGGGGTGTCGACTGGTTTTAAGGGATGCTCCTCCCTTGGAGGGGTCTGATGCTGTGTTGCGTCAGGCAAGGTGTCAGAAGTTTGTCTTTCTCAGTACTCCTTAGTTGAGTTTTGTTCAAGGAGCTCTTTTGCAAGTGTCAGCAGCTCCTGTAACCCAGAAGTAGGCGTGTCCAGCTGTCCTTGTGTAGCCTCCATTCGGCACCTGTGTGAAGGGTGTGGAGGAGGATGTTGTGGTGGACTGCTGTTGGACATACCATGGTGTTTGCAGGATGAGGATGCCTTTTTCCATGGCTTTTCCCAGTGGTTGGTCTGGAACCTGGGTCTGTTGCCATGGTGATGGCTCTGTCCTCTTCTGGCTAGGGGCTTTCTGTAGAAGGGTTTTGCATTGTGGCAATGCTGGGTGCCTTCTGGTGCCCGCTTTGTATTCTGAGTTGTGAAGTTCAGAATCAGCAGCGATCAGTCCATGTTCAGACTCTGGGTCTGAGAATTCCTTTATGATGGCTTGTTTAAGCTGCTGGTGAGGCTGCAGGATCAGTTCCTTTGATGTCCTCAGGATCTCTGCAGTACTTAGGTTGCCAGATGTATTGTCACTGGCCAGCTCATTGGGGTCTGTGGTTTCAGACTGACCTAGTGATGGTGGCAGGAGGGCAGCAGGTGGTTGTTAGCCCTCGGTTTTGCTCGAACGTCCCTAGAAACCTGATGTTTGCGCTGTCGCTTTGCTCTTGTGGCGGCACCGACTTGAGCTTGCCTGAGTTGTGTTGGTAGAGGTTTTGCTGTTGTATAGTGATGGCTCTGTCCTCTGCTGGCTATGGGCTTTCTGTAGAAGGGTTTTGCATTGTGGCAATGCTCAGTGCCTTCTGGTGCCTGCTTTGGATTCTGGGTTGTGAAGTTCAGAAGGTCACGCAGTTGTTGCATAGGCATTGTGCGGCAGGCCATAGTGCCTAAATGGTGACTTACAATATGATGGAGGTTTCGGAGGAAAAGGCTCTTGAAGCTGGTGTCCTCCTCCATCCCAGGGTAATTGCATCAGTCCGTGTTCAGACTTTATGATGGCTTGTTTGAGCCACTGGTAGTTTGATTGGATGTGTCCTGGCTGTCTAGAGGTGATCCAGAGCAGATAGAGTCTATCTTGGTGGTTCACACTGGTCCAAGACTGCAGGTAAAAGTCAATGTCTCGCAGGTAGGCATGGACGTCGTGGTCTCCTGCCAGTTCTGGGCGTGAATGCAGGGATGTTTCTGGCCATTCGGTTGAGGTCTTTGAGTGTCACTCCATGTGTCATTTCAGAGTTTGTCTGAATTGATCCTTTTCCTTCTGCGGCTGCAGAGGTTTCCAGGAAACTGACTTGTGAAGTGTCAAGCAGAAGGCTTTGGCTCCCTTCTCCCCCCTTCGTAGCTGTGTACAGGTGTGAAGGGGCTTGCA